CCCCGCTGAAAGGGAGGCTTCAGGGAACAGCTGCCGCTGGGCCACCACTGTCCCGGGCCACCGGCTGCCTTGGGCAGGGCACATGGATTCAGGACTGACATGGGCTGTTCTCCCCGGGAACCACAGGGATGCTGAGCGCTGCAGCCTCACTGGGCACGATATTGCTGTGGGACGTGGACGGGGGGCTGACGCAGATCGACAAGTACCTGTACTCCTCAGAGGATTACATCAAGGTCGGTGGCACCAGTCCCAGCAGGGGCTCTGTGGCTGCGGGCTGGGGGTGCAGCCGGCTCGGGGAATGATTCACCTTGCCTTAGTCTGCTGTGCGGCTCAGCTCCTGCCCAGAGAGGGTCAGATGTCCTGTGTCCTGGGCTATTGGTGGCTCACAGCAAAGCAGGGAGCTCTTGGGGGATCGCCTGAGGCCCCTTTGGGGTCCTGTTGTCACAGAGCTATGAACTTTGGACTGCTCAGCTGGATCCAGAGTGGTGTTGCTCACTTGGTACCAGCTTGCCCATCCTGTGTGATGTGTGGGCTGACGTTAGTCACTGGCTGGCAGAGCTTTGTGCGTTGGTGGCCAGTGGGTGAGGGTGCCTCTGCTTTGCAGTCGGGAGCCCTCCTGGCCTGTGGCATCGTCAACTCAGGGGTGAGGAATGAGTGTGACCCAGCCCTGGCCCTGCTGTCTGACTATGTCCTCCACAACAGCAACACCATGAGGATCGGAGCCATTTTTGGGTGAGAGCCTAACCCCAGCCTTCCCCGGGGCTGCGCGGGGTGCTGGGGCTCTCCCCAAAGCTCCCCCATCACACTGCCCTGGCCTCTCCACAGCTTGGGGCTGGCGTACGCGGGCTCCAACCGTGAGGACGTCCTGACTTTGCTGCTACCTGTGATGGGAGACTCCAAGTCCAGCATGGAGGTAGGGAGCGAGGCAGGATTCCCCTGGGATTCCTGCTTCCCCACCTGGTGTCCAGCATCTCCTGGGGATAGAGGTGCTGTCCTGCAGCTGGGTTGGGCTCTGGGAGCTGGGCTATGTGTCCCTGCCCAGCATCGTGCTGTGCTGGAAGAGCACGATGACTGTGTCTCGGGGCCAGCTGTGGGCCAGCTTGCTCTGCACTGTCCCTGCCTGCAGCACATCTCCTTCCCTCCTTCACCAGGTGGCTGGTGTGACCGCCCTGGCCTGTGGGATGATATCAGTGGGCTCCTGCAACGGGGATGTCACCTCAACCATCCTCCAGACCATCATGGAGAAATCGGAGACAGAGCTGAAGGACACCTATGCCCGGTGGCTGCCGCTTGGCCTGGGCTTGAACCACTTGGGTAAGACTGGGCAGTGGCAGCGGCTCCGCGGGGGG